TCTCTCTCTCTCTCTCTCTCTCTCTCTCTCTCTCTCTCTCTCTCTCTCTTTGCGTATGCGTGTGTGTGTGTGTGTGTGTGTGTGTTACCCTACACCCCCGCTTCACTCAAACGACAGCTACAATCTTCGCCTAAGAGTCGTATCTGACCCAGCCATTCTCTCTCTCTCTCTCTCTCTCTCTCTCGCACAAGAATGCTCTTATCTGCGCTCCAGCCCTTTTCCCTCTACCGCCGGCACCGACACCTACAGAGCTGCATCGCTTCATTTGTATTTGATTCATTTAAACCACACACAGAGAGCTAATTGCACATAGGCAACAGCACTTAGCGCATAGTACACAGTGCGGGTGATAATAGTACATAGCGCATGGCACATGTGGCAGGGCGGACAGAGCGGAGCGTAGTAGTTACTTCTCCCGAGTCACAGAGCAGACAGATCGCAGCGGTTTAAAAAAATAATAATTATTATTATAATAAAAAAAAAAATTGATCGCAGCCGTCAACCGACGTCGTTTCCCAGGCGTCCACTATTTTTAGGCACAGATCAAAACAAACAAAACGACAAAAAACTGGTGGTGAATGAACCAAGCCAACGATGGTGAACCGATACTTCTAGCTATTCGGTACACCCATGACGAGTTTTGAAAAAACGACGATTAAAAAATATAAAAAAAGAAAGAAAGAAAGAAAACACCAAAAGAGTTGTTTTCTTTTGTTTTCATCCTTTTTCAAGCAAATGCCTGACAGGACTTGGTGGCCTGTATATCCCGATGACTGAAATTTAAATTAAAATTTAAAACAACAAAAAAAAACCTTCGATCCAAAATGTCCCCCTGGCCGAGGTCCCATTCGCAAAGAGGATCGGATCGAATGCCTGAACGTGGACGGTTGGTCCTTCGGGACATCCGTTAAAATTGGAACGATACAGAGAAGATTAGCATGGCCCCTGCGCTTTCAAGGATGACACGCATAAATCAAAAAATGGTCCAAGTTGTGTGTGGTGTGTGGGAGAGTGTTGGCCATAGCCTCTGCTGCTACTCGATGAAGGGTGCGGGACGAAAGGGAGGCACAGCTACTGGCAGGTCTCGGTCTTTGTGTTAGCCAGACCCCCACTGGCGGCCCCAACCCTATACCCTAACCATTAGGGGCAAGGGGCAACATGAAATCTCCCCTTCACAGAGAGAGGGAAACTATGCTTGCAGGGGTCCCCTCTAGATAGTCTTAGGAGTAGGTAATGGAAGGTAAAAGAAACAGAAGTTGAGAGAAGAGTGTAGAAAAAAAAAAAAAAAAGTGGACGGTTGTATGCAGAGATGCAGAAAAGCAGTTCAATCTTGATTTCCTGCAACTTTTGACAAACACGTCCAGATTCAGGCAACTTTTGACAAACACGTCCAGATTCAGGCATACGATCCGATCCTCTTTGCTAGTGGGACCACGAGGGGGAGGAGAGTAAAGGAGAAGAATATAGAAAAAAGAAAAAGAAGCCCGGAAAATACCGAGCATTTTGCCAGTGGCTGCGCCTCCCTCTTCATCGCCCCCAACCCCCCCATCGAGTGGCAGCTGTGGCTATGGCCAACACTCTCCCATACACCACACACAAGCGCCACAACCCACAACCCGCAACCCACAACCCACTCACGCTCACACTCCCACTGGCGGCCCCACCCCATCTATGCCTACAGCTGTTGGGGCGTGATGCCCTATGCTTGCAGGGGGGGGCCCTCTATATAGCCTTAGGTGCAGTGGGGTAGGTAGGTAGTGAAAGGTGAAAAGAATTTGAGAGAGTGTAGTTATTTTTTTTTAAATCTTTCATCCTTATCATCTTTCACCTTCTTCACTACTTACCTACCACTACGCTATTTTTTTTTTTTTTTTTTTTTCCTGAGGCTTATACGGACAGGGGACCCCTGCAAAAATAGCTTTGTGGTCTCCCTCCAGCCATCAGAGATTCAGAGGGGATGCATGTTGCCTCCCCCCCCCTCCTCCCCTCAACCATGGTGATCAAGGATGGGGTGGGACCGCCGGTGGGGGTCTGGCTAATGCAAAGACAGCATTTTGCCAGTAGCTGTGCCTCCCTTTTCATAGTCCCCCACCCCCAACCGAATAAAACTAGTGTCTAAAGCCAACAATAACAGAAGTGTCTAAGGCCAACACTATCCCACACACCACACACAGCCCACTCACACTCACTCTCATGACCCCTGTTGGCCAAGGACCCTGCTATTACCAATGAGAGGTATCGGTCAGAAGTATCAAGCGGACTATCGCCGCTGGTTGGTACTAACTGCGCCACAGACGGGTGTGGGGCTCGAGCCCACGACCTCCTGAATGCCACTTGCGTGCCTAGCCAACTGAGCTAGGCCACTGGATGACACATTGAGGATTTTTATTTATTTATTTATTTTACTTTTTTTTTTTTTTTTTTGGGCATAACACGCATAAATAGAGAAAAAAAAAAAGCCTCGGAAAAAAAAAGGCCGGAATTGCTTTCCGGAACTTCTACCATCACAACGCACCTAAAGGTGACAGTCCTGTGAGGATGCATCTGACAGAAAAGATGACCACATGCATGATCTGCAAGTCAACAGTTACGTGCATTCTGACGGCGCTGTTAGGGCATACTCACATGGCCACTTTTCTTAATGTATATGACCCCAATTGCAGCCTGACCTAGATGAATATGACCGCAATCACGTCCAGAGCTGAGTCGGAAAAGTCGAAGTGTGCATGGTGGCTGGCTGGTTTTGTTCGTGTGTGGGAGCAGACCTTGCCCAGCATGGCGGGTGAGGGAGTCTGCCGCGGCTGTGTTGGGAGTGGGTGCTGGGCGTCGCAGTGCAGCACTTTTTTTTTTTCTTCTTTATTTCTGGTCTCTACCAGGTGATAGTTCAGTGCGGTACCTACTGGGCTAGCTCCTATTACTGGCACGGTTTTTCTGGCCGCCCGCAAGACACTATATGGAGCTATGACCGGGGCACCAATGGTGCATCTGCCCTGAGATATGAAGACTGTACATGGAGCAGGCTTGTTTTGGCGCTCTTGAGACGCGCTATACGGACCTGCGCGACCAGGTTCTTCGTGCCTGGCCTGAGATTTGGAGCCACTATTGGGACCCTTAATTGTGTGCTGCGGTCCTCGGCCGCTTCAACCTCTTTGGCATGCTTATCTTTGCGAGCTGGTGTGGCAGGATGAATCTGCTCCGTTTTAATTTAGCGTTTGTTTTGTTTCGTGAGCGAGCTCGTTCTCGTGTGTACTGCCCCTTGTTTGTGAGCTGGTTTGGCAAGCGTTCTTTTACGACAGGGCAGGATAACTACCCATAGGGCCTCGCAACATCACTCTCGAAATGGGAAAATGACAAAAATGTGGGGGGTGCATCTGGCCACATTATAGAATTTATAGGGGGAAGTCCATCGAAATTCTCATTTTGCACATTTGGAGAGTGGTGAGTCCTGTGGTTTTGCTTGTTGGGGCGCTGGGTTCTTGTTGTGATGTTGAGTTTTGGGGCGAGATCCCGCTGGCAAAAACGATATGAATCAATACCTTTCTAGGCCTTTTGGCTAAGATCAGGTGTAGTATCTGTTCTGATCAGTTTAATATCTGATCTGTGGTCCATCGAGCCAAAAAAAAAAAAAAAAACGATATGAATGAGTGTCTGACTCTCGACGTGTTTGTGGAAAGGGGCAAAAAACTGTAATTGATCTGCTTTTCTTTTTTTTTTCTTTTTCTTTTTCCTGCTTTTCTTCATCTCTGCGTGGAACATCTCCTGATTCAAACACTCATTCCAATCCTCTTTGCCAGTCAGATCTGGCCCTTTTAGTTTGCAGATTATTAGAGGGGGGGGGCAGAGAGAGAGAGAGAGAGAGAGAGAGAGA